AGAAGTTCACTGAATCCTCACACATTTATTCTCCCTTCTCTGTTTCAAAACTGAAGTGCTTCCAAATGTTCTTAGCAGCTTTATTTTGAATGACCCAAAACAGAAAACGACTCGAATACCTGGGTACAGATAAACAGACATAAACAGGTCTGTCCACACAGTGGAGTCGTGCTCAGGAAAAGACAGGACAGATGCAGCAATCCAGATGAATCTCAAAATGACTTTTCTTTGCAGCTGAGTAGCACTTCACGGAGTACAGGTACCATATTTCATCAGACCGCTCACGTACTGATGAATGGTTTGTTCCCACATCTTTGCAATTATGACCTGTGCTGCTATATTCCACGGACTACTACTCAGCCGTAAAAGGGTGATCTAGTATCTGTTGTAACAACCTGTACAGAAATGGAGACAACTCTTCTATGAGAAGTTATCAGGAGAAAGGAAGAACACATACCACGTGGGGAGGTGGGCGCGTTGGGGAAACTCACACCTAACTGGGGCAAGGCACATATTCTAGGTGAAGGCCACGCTTAGACAACATGGACGTGAAATGTACAAAAGCAAATTATATAACGAAAATATGTGTACCCCTGTGACATTCTAGAAAAAAGATGACGCTGAGTAAAAGGAACTCAACAAAAAGAGCATAAAGGTTTGATGTCAGCGACCAAACTTCTAGGATCCACTAACTCAACTACAGTGAAAAGCGCAGGGACTGAGGCAGAAGAAGGGGAAGGGAAGATGACAAGTGGCAAGGGAAGACTTTGGGACGACAGAGATGTCCCCTACCTTGACCATGACAATGGTTCCACATGTATGTTTGTAAAAACTCACCAAACTGCACATGTCAAATATGCAGGTTAGTGTCTGTCAACATGGCTATAAAAATGTTTCTTTTTTTCCTGGACTGTCTATCTGAATATCCTTAGCCCTGCTTCTTTTTATCTCCTACAAGACACGTTGTCCCCTTCTTTCCCTACGTCTGTTTCCTGTCCCCACTGTATCCCTGTAGGGACACTGCCACAGCCTAAATCAATTGCCCTACAAACTGCTTTCGCCCACCTCCTTGCTCCTTGGCTGCCGTTACGATGGGCAGTGGGCCTGCGTCACTGCAGGGCACCCACTTATCTCTCGACTCCTGGCTCCTCGGCATCTCCCCCCACTCCCCTAGCAAAAACCGCTTTCTCTCAGGCTCTCAGAGATGCCAAACCACCAGCTTCCATGTCTTCTTGGGTATAGCCTTCAGGCCCCTATGGTCCCACACGTCCCTGGTGGGACCTCCAGTCCAAATATCCGACTAATGCCTTAACCTGTGGCTCCTCTTCCTCCAAACCTCATCCCTGAGCATCCTCCAGGGCTCTGGGCTTGACTCTGCCTTCATTCCTGCACTTGGCAATCAGGGCAAGCCTCTCCACGGAATGCCCCACCGACTATGTTAGCTCTGCCTACTTTCATCTACTCTTTAGTGAGTTGCTAAAGGCAGCTGTCATCCATGATGCCGGTGAAATGATCCCCCTTCCATGTGTTTGGGTAGGAAGCTCCTCTGTGACCCCAAGGCGGAGGCACTCACCCTCGGCCTCAGCCACTGAACAAAGACACCATCGCATATGACAGCGAGAGGGTGATGCCCAGGGCTTCCACGGGCCTATCCCAGAGCCTGTCAGGGAGCTGCTGATTATGATGACGAGAGCCTGACCCTGCCTCTGGAGAATGGAGGTGAGCACGGAGAAGCAGAGATGGATCCTTTGGTGAGCACAGAGAAGCAGAGATGGATTCCAGATGCATGCGTGCCAAGGAGCAAGCTGCTTCTAAAGTGAGCCCCCCTCCTGGACCCCTTGCTTTACGAGCCAACACATTTCCTGCTGAGTTTTTAATTCCATATAAACAGAAGACTCTAACGATGATTCTGAGGCAGACCCTCCGCCAGTGTCTTCTCCTTCCATCATCACAGTACATAAAAGCTGTGAAAACCTTTGCTCCGGAATTTGGCACATTATTATAATTAACAGAACACATACCCCATATTCTCCAGTGGACCTAAAGCTCTCCAAGGGAAGAGAGCTTGTCGGCACGGCGTTTAATCTCGCTGCGGAGCCCGGGGCATGGTGGACACCCAACACGCCATTTAAATTTAATTGTGTTGATCTCTAAAGTGTTCTTTTTGCGGGATGAGGATGTTGAGTGTCTCAGCTCCCCAACTGGATTAAGAATTCCTTTGAGCGAGGCGTCATTAACTCTTTCTTTTTACATCTCATTTCATAACACTTCTGGCTTAAACTCTTTTTAATGGCTTCCCGCTTCTGCTAACTTGGAATTCCAGCTCTTTATTGCACCCACCTCACCTGCATGATATTAAATCTCTGCTAATTGCTTCTAGTTCCTCCTTTTGCCCCCAGAACACCTGATCCCCCTTCACCATGCCCCACATGTACTGGTCTGGTCTTGGGGCTTGGAAGGAGCTGAGATATTTTTAAATGTAGGACCTTCAACCTTGGTATTTCCTTTGCCTGAAATGCACTGTCTTCTCACCTTAAATTTTATCTCCTTGAAGAAATGTCCCCAGACCACCTGTTTGCAGGCAGCACCTGTTCTTTTTTGACCTTCTCAAGACAGCCGTGTTTTCCTTAAGAACGTCTATCACACTTGGTGGTTGGGGAGCTGTTTGCCATATTCTCTCTCTCTCTGCCCCTCCAACCAAGGTACAAGAAGGAATGATCATGTCTCTTGGTTCATCTGTGTCACCCAATATAAGTCCTTATGCATGTTTAATAAATATTTGCAAATGAATGAATCTCTCATAGTCATTACCTTGATAAATAATGTCTAATTGAACTTTATTTATTTTGAAGATAGCTTACCCAGACAGCATTACCATTGGTTATCACAATATAATCAGCAAACTATGAACAATACCATCACCACCACCAGGTAGTCAACTCAAAAATAAACACCTGCTAACCCAGCAAACCCATTCAATAGAACTATCCCTAAGGTCAAAAACAATAAACACATAGTAACCCGGCAGACCTGTTCAATAGAACCATCTCTAAGGTACACCATCCAGACACAAAAGGCCACAGCAGCACCCCTCACAAGAGCCCAAAGGTGGAAACAACTCAAATACCCATCAGCAGATGAACACAACCTCATCAAGAGGACTATCAGGTGGCACATTCAACAGGAATGAGCCTGACAATATTATTCTAAGAGCTAGACACCAAAGGCCACGGATAAAGCAGTTGCCCGGTTGTCAAGGGAGCAGGAAGGGAGAGTCTGCTCAACGGGTATAGGGTTTCCTTTTGGGGTAGTGAGAATGTTCTGAAACTAGAGAATGGCGCTGATTGCACTATATGGTGAATGTGCCAAATGTTACTGAATGGTGTATGTTAAAGGGGTTAAAATGGCAAACTTCATGTTATATGTATTTTACCAAGGTGAATTTAAAAAGGAGATTGCAATTAAAAATGTCACAATGGATACAAGTTTTTAAAATCTTCAAAGCTAGCCTTGAAATAAGGTGCCAAGTAGCAAAGTTAGGCAGGGGTTACTTTTCCTATAGGAATTATATCATGGTTCAAACTCAAGCACTTTTTCTCAAATACTGGTTTGCAAGATGCCTGAGGGCAGAGGGCAGAGACAGAATAGCCTTGCAGCTAAAAAATGTTCTAGACTAGAAGATTGTTGTGCACAAGCTTCTAAAGATGTCTGGAGAACAAGGTTTCCCAGTGTGCGGTCCATATAGATGTTTAGATACTTTTGATTTTTTTTCCTTCTTGAGACCTAGTCTTACTTTGTCACCTTAGGTGAGTGCTATGGCATCATCGTAGCTCATAGCAACCTCAAACTCCCGGGATTCAAGTGATCCTCTTGCCTCAGCCTTCCCAGTAGCTGGGACTCAGGCATGTACCACCATGGACAGCTAGTTTTTTTTTTTTTTTATTTTTAGTAGAGATGAGGTCTCACTCTTGCTCAGGCTTGTCTTGAACTCCTGAGTTCATGCAATCCTCCTGCCTCCACTCCCCCCAGAGTGCTAGAATTACAGGCTTGAGCCAGCATGCCCAGCCAGGTGTGGCTGTTTTAGACAATATGCACACAATTACTGCTTAATTAATTTTAATATAATTATTTTTGTTCAGGGCTATCGTTGATTAATGGCCAATAACAAACACTAGCTCTTGCATACGGTGATGACAAAATATTTATGATGTTTGCTTGCTTGTTTTTAATCCATTCTCATGCAATAAAATTTGCTTTTTGTTGTATAAATTTGTATCACCTTCACCATTAAGATAGAGAAGAACTCTACTCTTACCCACCAAAATGCAATGCTGCGCCTTTGAAGTTCACACTTCTCCCTACTCTGGTCCATCAACCAAGAGGAAGGAACGAGGGACAGACACAGTGATATGGGTGGATCTCCAATGCATTAGGCTACGTTAAGCAGGCTGGGCTCAGAGAGTTGGGGTGGTGATGAGGAATAGCTACAAATGGGCACAGGCTGTGCAGTAAGGGTGATGGAAAAGTTTTGAAATTGGATTTAGGGGATGGCCGCACAATTCTGCAGATATACTGAAAATCAGTGCACACCTAAAAGAGGTGAATTTTATGGTATGTAAATCATAACTCCGTAGGGATGTGGAAAAAAAAAAAAAAAAAACCTCAAAGATCCCATTGGGATGGCATTCTGAAAAAAGCAAAACTATCCAGAAAATAGATGGATGTTTCCCTAACAAACAAACGTAGTTCACAAAAAGTGTGTCGATTTAAAGATACAGTAGGAAAGAACGCAGATAGATGAGGCCAACTTTGGGAAGTGGTGTGGAGAGGATGGTCTTAGGGGCTGATTTGGCCCCAGAGGCCAGAGTCCTTGGCAGGGGCAGGTGCACTGCCCTCAGTGTCCTCCCCAGGACTGGAGACACCCGTGTGCCTTGGAGAATGTGCCCCTCACCGCGCAGCCCGCACATCCTCCCGGCCCCCAGGAGAAAGCGCCCACTTACTGTGGCGGTGCCGGAGACGGTCTGCGCGCTGGTGTCCGCCGGGCTCTGCTCGGAGTGGGGCTGGGCGGGAGGGTACAGGTTTAACGTGTGCTCAGGAACGGTGGTCTGGCCTGTGTACTCTGGCGCAGGGTGGGGATGAGGGGCCGTGTACTCCGCGGGGATGCCGTTCTGCGGGGGAGCGAACTGAGCCGAAGCGTAAGGCTGAGCCATTGTGTCAGGGGCAGCTGCGGCTTCTTGGTTACCCTGGAAAATCCGCAAAGTAGAGAGGAGAGGAAACCGTGAGTAGGCACAAAGCGGGTCCTTAGCCCTCAGCCCCGTGACTGCCCTTCCCTGGACACGTCCTAGGGGCCAACATAGCACCTCCAGCCTGAGACGGACCAATCCCAGGTCACAGTCACCAGAGTGGTGAGGAAGCAGTAACCACATGGACCCCATTTGACAGATGCAGTGACGGAGGCCCACAAGGATAAAGTTACCTTCCCCCCAGTCTCCCAGCCTAACAGTCAGAGGCTATGAGGATCTGTGTCCTGCTGTATTGGATTTTTCTGGCAGATCCTTTTTATTTTATTTGGTTCCCATTCTGGAAGCTATGAGCATGCAGTTGTCCACAGTGACAGCAGAACCTTGTTTTGATACTTGAAGTGCCAAGAGAGATTAAATGGAACGGGTATGTCTTGAGAGGAGAGACAATTTATCTAACCATTTGAATTTAATCAAAGTTTTATGTGACTTGGCTCACATAATGGGATACGGGAGAGGCCTTTTAATGGTCCTAATGTGTGTGTGTGTGTATTTGTGTGTGTGAGGCATGTTCCAGTGCCAACATGAGGAAGCCAGGGAAAATTCTGGGCCTAATTAGCACAAAGATGGCCCTCTGTGATATCCTCATTTTAAACATTTCTGAAAAATATTGGACTTAACTCAGCTCATTGGTCACTGCCTCCCCACCCCCAACCCCATGTCTGTTACTATCATTATTATTATTATTATTTACAAGCATGGAGCATTACATAACAACTCACTCCTCTGATTTAGGCTAAACATGTATTATGTTAATTACAGTCAATTAAAAAAGAATTTTAAGACACACAACAGAAACCCGAATTCAAATGCTTCCATTTCAGGAAGCATCAATCTCTCTTTCCACCACTGCCCCCCACCCTACCATCCTACAGACACACACAGGAAGCAGAAATTGTAAGCCAAATGTCTGAATTTTCTGTGGTCTCAGGAGGGGGCAGGGAGGGAGGAGGGAGAGAGGGGGAGAGAGAGGGAGAGAGAGAGAGAGAGAGAGAGAGAAAGAGAGAGACAAGGCTTAGCAATTAAGCACACCGCAAAGCTGCTTCTCCCATTGTCTGTGGTCAATTAGATGTGACTGTAGCCCTCACAGAACGATACCAGGGTAAAAATGATACAAGCGCCCCCATCTCCTCAGTCCCGGCCACCAGCACTGCTTCCTCTAGAGCATTTTGAGCACAGAAGCAGCATGATGACAGGAGGTGGGGAGAAAAGTTGGTTCTCAGAGGAGCACGTGGAGCTGGTGCATTTGTTTAGAGGGGACCTTAATTAGAATGTTACAGATGACACTTGGAAGGCAACTGAGCTTAGGATAAGTTTAAACGTTTTACAAGGGAAAACATTCCCATCAGGCTTTCGCCTCCTCCAGACGACTTTCTCCAAATGTCTGCGCCATTGGAAGCAGAAGTGCACAAGCGTTTCTTTCTCCTTTGGTAACATTTCCCCATTTCCTTCTCCTTTTTTGTAACATTTTCCCATTTCTTTCTCTTTTTGTAACGTTTTCCCCATAGCAATGGGGGTGTGCTAGACAGGAAGATGTAACCCGGTCTGTCTTTGGGAGGCCACAGACTGTTATTGCGGGTCAGTCTCCACTCCTGGTTTTTCAAGGACAATACTCCAGATTCCTTTGGGGGGTAGGGGGAGTCCCACTGTCTGCGCTTTTTAGATACAGTTATCTGACATCAGCCCGTCCAATAAGAAGGTTTCATTGCCATGCTCAGGAATTTGGGGTCATGCCCATAAACCTGGCGAGTCTGTGAGTTACGCCCTAGTCACACACCAGTGTGTCCCTGTCACGTGGCGATTTTGCTGTAGTTTGGGGGAAGAAGTTCTCTTTCCACTGTGATTGGCAGCTATAAAAAGAAAGTAAGCCTGGATTTGCCAAGAACTCTGTAGGCAGAGGACCTGCCTACAGGTAAAGCCAAGCCAGAGGAAAAGGAAGCCAAAAAAACCGAGAAAGACAGAGGGATCAGTTGGGTCTCGGTGACGTTCCCTGAAGTCTCAGATCCCACTTTACCTGCAGTTAGTAACGCCCCTGTTTGTTTTGGTTACACAAATCAGAAAATGTCTTATTTTTAACAGCTTTGTTGAAATATCACTAACATAAAAATTATATGTAGGGAAGGCATATAATTTGATGTTGTGATATGTGTATACATTGTGAAATGACCACATTGCAGGTGGCTAATGCATCGATCACTTCTGCGTGGCTGCCGTCTGGGTGTGTATGCACGTGCGTGTGCAGCGAGGTTTAATTTAAGATCTATCCTTTTAGCATATTTCAAGTACACAATGCAGTATTTTTAACTCACATCCTCATGCTGCACTTACTTATTCATCTTGCAAAACAGAGACTTTGTAGCCTTGTCTTACTTTAAGCTGGGTTTTCTGTTGCTTAAAACCAAAAGGGTCTTCACCAATAAGAAAAAAAAAAATTCTCTGCTGTTTTACAACTAGTACTTTTTCTTTCTCTAGGGTATTCAAAGAACACATCCTTGTGTTCAAAAATTCTAGTGATGCCACTTTCCTATGGCTGACCAGGAGCCCCACAAATGTTGGGATGTTAAGAACTGTCCAAAGGGAAATCCTGGGCTCCAGGATTGGCTTCTGCCCAAAGGTCTGTTCCCGTCTCCTTCCTCTTCCACCTGGCCCACCTCTGAACTGAGAGGTAGACCCGGGACCACTCCAGGTACAAACAGTCGCAGGAAGGTTTTCATTACTGCAGAGCAATCTCAGGAAGAATGACCAACGCTTCTAAGCTCCTGCAAAAGAGCAAGGGCTCCCTGCAAGGGTCTGATCTCTCTGTACTGAGCAGAGAAGCGACCTGCCCTCAAGAAGCTGAGGTCATTTGAGGAAGAAGGTGGTCCAGCCTCTCAACTCCATCATGTCGTCACTTTCAATGCCCCCCTCTGATGGAAAAGGCTCCGTTCTTCTGCCTTGCTTAGCTGGTCCCTGCTTCTTCTGGAGAGCCCCCTCCCCAGCGAGCCTTCATTGATATTCCAGTCAGTTGCCCATCCGCTGTGCCCCGCCACAGCTGGTGGCCAAAGCTCACAGAACTCCAAGCATTGCCATCGTCTGTCTATCCATGAGCCCCCTGACGGTAGGACACAGTGGACGCTCCCCGCCCCATCTCCAGGCTACAGCAGCAGCACACTAGCTACAAGGGAGACATTTATGACTGCTACATGCTTGAAAAATGAACTCCAGGCTCAAGGCTCAATCTGGCAGCAGGAGATAGGACAGAAGGCATTAAAGGGAAGACTTGGCAAAAGACTCATGGGGCAGATCGAGCCCACTGCTCTTTTCTATGAATAAAGTTTCGTCAGGACACAGCCACTACACTCATCTGTTTACTGTTTATAGTTGCTTTTGAAATAAAATAGCAGAGTCAAATACTTGTGGCACAAACTATGTGATCCTCAAACCTAACAATCTGGACCTTTGCAGAAAAAGTTTTCTAATGGCATTGGTAGAGTATCATTCGATATGGGGACACCAGTTAAGAAGCCATCATTGTATAAATGGCTCAGGTAGGCAACAGAGCTGACTGTGAATCCCCAAGAGAGAGGCAGGGAGTATATTCTACCTAAACCAGGAAGGGTGGGAGCTAGTCCTGGAAAGAGACACTGCCGAGGACAGTGCAAAAAGAATGAGCCAGAATCTTTTAGGGGATTTTCTTTTCATCACCAGATCTCTGAGCAGTGACCACACATAGAAATACAGACTGCCAACTCAGCAGGAGTGGGCTTAGGAGGACCAGGGCATGACGGCCTCGGGCTTGGACTTGTGTGCTCCATGTAGAAGGCAGCTCCTTCCCACCAGTGCTCAAGAAACAAGGCAGTGAGGACCAGGCACTGAGTGGACAGTTTACATCAGTAGGGTTTTTTTTTTTTTGAGACAAAAAGAGTCTTACTCTGTCACCCTGGGATTGAGTACCCTGGTGTTGTCATCTTAACTCACAGCAACCTCAAACTCCTGGGTTCGAGCAATCCTCTTCCCTCAGCCTCCAAGAGTAGTTGGGATTGCAGGTGCCTGCCACTACACCCAACTGGATTTTCTATTTTTAGTAGAGTGTCTTGCTCTTACTCAGCTGGTCTTGAACTTCTGAGCTGAAGCAATCTGCCTGCCTTGGCCTCCCAGATTGCTAGGATTACAGGTGTGAGCCACCACTCCTGACTTCACACCCTTATCTCTTAAAGAGGTGTGACTGTGCCCTGGGGGTATTAGGCAATGCCTGGAGGCATGCTTGGCTGTGGATAGTGGGGAGCATGAGCCCCTGGTTTTCAATGTGTAGAGCCAGGTATTCTGCTCCAGTGGACAGGACAGTGCCTGCCACAAGGGGTGATCCCGCTCCAAATGTAATAGCACCGAGGTCGGGAAGCCCCACTTCGGTTTCACTGCCTCTCTAATTACTCACTTCACTTTGTAATCAAAGATGTTCCGGTCCAAACTGGGAAATAATTATACCAGGTTACAGTCACGGGCAATTCTCCAGGGAGCCAGAAGTGGCCTCTCATTTTGGCAAGAGGAGCACCTGGTGGGGAGTTGTGTTCCCATTTTTATGTAAACAACACCCCCTCTCACATACGCCATGCACCCAAGACCTGTTTTTTAATCTGCGTTATTCCCTGTGGGGAAGTCAGGTATGAGCGTATCGGATTCAATGATGCCAGCAGTTCCATTTGCCAGATTAGGTGGGTGACCTTTGACAAGTAGAGCGGCAGCCACCTGGCAAACTTCTGTGCCATCTCGAGCCTTCGTCCTGGCTTCAGAATGCTCTGTAGCTCTCCCAGGCAAGGACCGAGTCCGTGATAGCCACGGAGCCCATATAGTTATCATCTAGGTCCGAGAGGCTCTGCACCTCATCCACTACCTGGAGTTCTCAAACAGATGTTGGTGGGACCCCTACAGTTCCTTATTAACACTGACAGCCGTTCCAGAGAGAC